ATTCTATTCTATTCTATTCTATTCTATTCTATTCTATTCTATTCTATATTTTGCATCTACTGGGCATGCAATTTCCAATATTCACGGCCAACAGGGGAATCTTACAATTGTAGTTTTACATATAGGTAGTCGTTGACTTTCAAGGTTAACGGAGCTTGCCAATTACGGTTGTTAAATCATGTTGGTCATTAAGTCGGTCACCCACCTGACCAATTCAATTTTATGACCTTTTTATGAGGTTTTTTAGGAGAACCAATGGTTTGCTATGGGCCCGTATTGCTGAAAACTGGAAGTAAATGACAGGTCTTCGCAAAAACATTGTAAAACAAGAGCAAGATGACGCTTGCTAAGTTGTGACATTTGTCAGCAGGTCATTATCACCTGACCAACCCAACTTTACCACTTCTTTGCAGCAGTCATTAAGCAAATCATAGTTGCCAAATGAATCCACAATCCTTAAATGAACCCATTGTTTGCTATGGGGTTTTTTCCCTGCCAAAAACCAGAAGTAAACATTGAATTTTGTCAATAATAATAATTATTATTATAAATTGCAGTTGTATAACTATGGGACACAAAAATCAGCCATAAATGCAAGCAGGTTGCTGACTGTCTGAAATGCAGTCACGTGACTACAGAGGGGGAGTGGTCCATCATAACTTCAAACCGTCACTAAGAGAGCAGTCGTAAGTCAAGGACTACCTGCATTTCTGAACCTCAGCAATATTAAGATGTACAGGTTGTCCTTGACTCACAACAGTTTATTTAGGGCCTGTTCCAAATTACACTGAAAAAAGTGACTTATGACCGTGTTTCATACTTATGACCATTGCTGTGTCCTGGGATCATGTGATCACCTCTTGCAACCTTCTAACAAGCAAAGTCAGTGGGGAAGCCAGATTTGCTTAACAACCATGTTACTAACTTAACAGCTGCAGTGATTCACTTAACAACCATGGCAAGAAAGGTCGTAAAATGGAACAAAACTCATAAGTCGAGGGCTATCTGTATAAACTTCAATCTCTCAGAATTCTCCAGCTAGAATTTGGAAAGTTGAAATCTACGCATCTTAAAGTCGCTGAGATTGAGATGCGTGGATTTAAGCCAGTGGTGGCTAACCTTTTACAGCTCCCATGCCGAAAATTGCACGTGCATTCACACAGGCACGTGTCAGCACCCAGAAGGCAATGGGTGCTGCCCCCCAACGCTCCCTGTGCATGTGCACGCAATCCCCCTGCATGTGCCGTGCATCTCTGCGCATGGACACGCAACCTGTCCCATGCGTGCTATGCATCTCTACGCATGCGCCCCCTGCGCCCCCTGCATACGCGCCAGATATTCGACAATCAGCTGTCGGGCGGCGGCATGCGCATGCGCCATGGGGCTCTTCCAGGCGACCTCTCGCGTGCCGGCAGAAGTGCTTCTGCATGTCACTTCTGGCATGCGTGCCATAGGTTCGCCAACACGGGTTTGCGCTAAGGCGTCCCAAGGATTCTAGCCTCTTTTGAAAGCAATGGGTTCAAAGACCATCCACCACCCCCCTCCATCATTTTGGTTGTCTTCTTCATTTGGGGGGAAAGCTTCTCTCAACCATCTGAACTTTTGTTCCTTGATGTGATTTGTAAATCATAAAACATTTGGCATCAGTAAAACGCTCTTCCTGGGAAATCCTGGAGAAGATGGGACACCACGGAGGCTGAAAACGGGTGACAGCTGACTTGGGACCAAGCCATCTTTTTTCAAGGCAACCTACCTCACAGGGTTGTTGTTGGATGAAAAATATGAGGTGTGAGCCTTTTTTTTTTTTAAAATAGGCCGTCTTTGAGTTGACCAGAAATAAAAGTGGAAACAAAACAAAATGCATTGTTTTGTAGAGAATATAATTTTTCAACCTTGGTCCCTTTAAGATGGGTAGACTTCAATTCCCAGAATTCCCCAGTCATGCTGGGGAATTCTGGGAGTTGAAGTCCACCCGTCTTAAAGGGACCAAGGTTTGGAAATCTTGCCTTAGAAATATACAAGTTTTCCTTTCTTGTTTTAAAGGACTTGCGAGTAGCTTACCGTGCCAAGACAGATATTCTACAATATCCCACACCACCGTTGGGATTCCACACTTGCTCAGCCCTTCGTGCTGCAGTTCCTGAAGACTAACGCCAAACAACCTCCGGCGATGACAGGATCCCTTCTGTCGGCTTGGGGGCAGGACGGCAACCTTTTTCATATCTCCTTTAAGCCTGACCGCTGAGTTACTTTGCTTGAAAGGACACAAAAAGGGAGAACACCCGGTCAGAGTGACGATGGGAGGTGGCATGGCTTGACAAAGCACTCCCTTCCCTTCCGAGGGAACTGGAGGGATCGACTCTGTGGGTTTTATGGAACCGAAGCCTCCCTGAGGTCGAGATTCCAGGCAGGACTTCTAAAAAGGTCTGGGACAGATCGTGCACAGATGCAAACACAGAACACCCTGGTTGAACAGGAAAAAGAAAGTCAACAGGAGTGGCCTGAATCCGTAGCCAAGCAACTGAGTGGATAACTTAGAAACATTCAAGCTGCATTACCAGACGCAACTATGGGCGGAGCGGAAATTACACGTACTCTGTGAATGGGCCTCGTTTCTCTGAAAAATGAGTGTAAACATAGATGTAATATTATGCAATGGCAGAGGGCAGATCAAGTCTAACGTGGTAACCCAACACGGAAAGGTGGATTTGTAATGCAGCCCTGCGCAGACAGGCGTGGCATTTTTCCATCCTTCTAGGCAGCTTGTAAATTAAAAAATTATCTCAGTGTCTCATTAGGGAAGAGTTGCCCAGGTGAAAGATCAACTTCTGGCCTCTCTAGACAAGGCCTGAGGGATGAAGAAAGAAAGAAAGAAAGAAAGAAAGAAAGAAAGAAAGAAAGAAAGAAAGAAAGAAAGAAAGAAAGAAAGAAAGAAAGAAAGAAAGAAAGAAAGAGAGAGAGGGAGAGAAAGAGAAAGAAAGAAAGAGAGAGAGAGAGAAAGAAAGAAAAAAAGGAGAGAGAGAGAGAGAAGGGGAAAGGAAGGCATGGGAAGTGAAAAGAAAGGAAAAGAAGAGAGACAGGAAAAGAAAAAAGAAAGAAGGGAAAAGGACAGAATAAAGGGAGGGAGGAAGGATGGAAGGATGGAGAGAACGAAGGAATCAAAGAAAGGAAAAAAGGAAGGGAGGACTGCTTGGGGAATTATTTCAATTCACCATACTCTATGCTTGCAACTTTACAATTGCTTCTATCAGCATCAATGTTGCAGCCTCTATACTTGATCCCAGATGTCCGTGTGTGTGTGTGTGTGTGTGTGTGTGTGTGTGTGTGTGTGTGCAGAAGCCAGGCCCACCCCAAGTACAGACAAACAGATCATGGTATGCAGGGTCTGCTATATCTAAGGAGGACACAGAAGCATGTGGGAAAGGCCCATGCACCCATTGCTTACCCCACCTCTGATTCCAATTATTTGAAGTCACCGTTTTAAAGTTACCACGTTTGAGAAACACTGTTTTTAAGCTGTATATAATTAAAGAAGCCTTATGCATATATCAGCAAATATAAATAAAAACAATGCATAAAATATCATTTTACCTGAAAATTAACTTCTCGGATTATTACTATTTTTTTTTACTGTATAGTCTAGAGAGGTGGAATTTCCTATTGGGTTATTCAGGTCTGACTATTCATGTTATCATTTTGCTGGGAGTTAAATTATATGCACCGTTTATAAAAATTACTATTATAATTTGCCTAGAAAGCAGATGTAATCATATTGTTCATCTGTTTTCAGGAAACTGGGGCCAATGCTTGGTTTTGCACACCTATCTTCTCTCACACATATAGCCTCCTCTCTTTTTGTTCAAAGCTCCCTACAGTTGCTGTATGTACATCTTTATGTACATCCATTTTCAATTTAAGCTGTGATTAATTCTTGGCCATTAGGGCAACCTAATGAGATAGCACCAAACCATAGTTAGCAATGGGGGGTGGGCTTCAAAAATTTTAGCAACGGGTTCTCTGCCTGGTTGTTGGGTGGGCGTGGTCATGGTGGGCGTGGCCTAGTCGGCCTCCTTCACCACGGCAGAGGGGGAGGTGTTTTTCACCCTCCCTGGGCTCCGGAGGCTGCGTGGGGATTCCTGGGAGGGGCAGAATGGGATGGGCGGGGTCAGCCAGGAGTGGGATTTGGGGGTTCTCCAAATTGCACAGAATCTTAGCTAGGGGCTCTCCCAAACCCCTGCGAACCCTCAGCAGCCCACCCCTGGTTAGCAATAAATCTCATACCTATGTAAATCACACATATTAAAATGCAGATAAGACTATGAGAAAGAATACAGAATATATACAATTTGTACACACTTACTCCTCAACACCATTCATTTGGTCACCATTTGAAGTTCCAACAGCAGTGAAAAAAGTGACATGACCGTTTTTCACATTTATAACCGTTAACAGCATCCCAGTGGTCACATGATCAAAATTTGGATGCTTGTATAACTGGCATGTATTTATGATGTCTTGGGGTCATGTGATCACCTTTTGCTGCCTTCTAAGAAGCAAAACCAACGGGGAAGCCAGATTCACATAACAATTGTGTTACTAACTTAACAACTGCAGTGATTCACTTAACAACTGTGGCAAAAGAGGTCATAAACGGAGCAAAAATCACTTGAAAAATGTTATTGCTTTGCAATGGAAACTTCGTGATCAATTGTGGTTGTAAGTCGAGGATCACCTTATTATATCTTTTATGTAGAATGATCTTTTCCCCATTTATTGGAATCCATTTCTTTCTACTGAGAACAAGTAAGCTATAAGGCAGGGATGTCAAACTCAAGGCCCGCGGGGTGTTTAGATCTGGCTCATGGGACCACCCTGGAAGCAGCAAAGGACCAGCACACATCAGAAATAAAGCTCAGCCACCCCACCCCCCCCCACCCCCGCAGGCTCCGTTTTCACTGGCAGAGGGCTAGCAAAACAAACTAAAAACAAAACAAAAGGAGAAATGTTTCCCCATTTGCATTTGAGCTTGCAAGAAGGGACAGGAAAGGGAAAGACGAAAGACGAAGGGAAGAGAGCAAGGAAGGAAAATTAAGGAAAGAGGAGAAGAAAGAAGAAGAAAGGAGAATGAAGAAGGAAGGAAGGATGGAAGGAAGGAAGGAAGGAAGGAAGGAAGGGAGGGAGGGAGGGAGGGAGGGAGGGAGGGAGGGAGATTATAATGAGAGTTAGGGAGGGTCAGAGGGAAGTCCTACCTTAGCACTTGGCCACCACAAGTGCCCCCAACATGAGTGACATTGAGCTGGCCACACACCCCACGGCCATGCCCTCTGCCTCAGATCAAACACAACCTGATGAATTTGAATCTGATACCCCTGCTATAAGGGAACAGCAGGTCTTTTATTATTATTATTCATAACAAAAATTCATATTCATGTATTGTCAGGGCATATCGTTTACAGAGGAAAAAAGAAAAAAAAAGAAATAGTAACACATATACTAAAAACAATAGTCATGGTGCAACAGATTAATTTAACTAAATTTATCTTTGTTAGCTTATTTGTAATCCTGTTGATTATATTGGCATACTTGTAGTTATAAACCATCTTTCATACATAGCAATAATCTTTCTTCATCTAATTTCTACCTCTTGTCTCTAACCACTCTTAAAATCTATCCCACGTTGAGTAATATTCTATATCTCCGTTGTCCTCTATTTTTCATTTCAATCTGTCCATCTCTGCACAGTCCAGTATTTTCCGAATTACATTCTCATCTGATGGACTGTTCTCATTTTTTTCCAATATTGTGCAAACACAATCCTCACTGCTGTCAATACATTCAAAACTAGGTATACAGTCCCTTTATCATAGCCCTCCGGCATTATACCTGACAGAAATATTTCTGGTGTCAGATCTATATGTTGCTTGATCATCTTTTCGAACCATGTATGTATTTTCGTGCAATATTTTCTTGCTTTCATACATGTCCACCACATACGATAATAAGTACCTAAGGTCTGATTACACTTCCAACACTTGGCGGACATATTGCTGAATATTTTTGCTAGTCTTGCCGGTGACAAATGCCACCTATAAAACATTTTATAGAGATTTTCCATATAGAGATAGATAGATAGATAGATAGATAGATAGATAGATAGATAGATAGATAGATAGATAGATAGATAGATGATAGATAGATAGATAGATAGATAGATAGATAGATAGATTTTTAAAGGGAACAGCAGATCTTCATATGCCTGTTTGAACCATTTATTTTGAATGAACAATGTTTTAAATCATGTTAAAGCTTGTCTGCTTCTGATTGTTTAAAAAGTGCTTCTGTAAACAGGCAACAAGTAGTATGTTTATAATCCCTACTTCAATCATCTTCATACTGCAGGCAGACATACGAGCACTTGCTTTTGAGATCAACCGCCTGACAATTTCAATCACTTTTACTGACAAAAGTACCTCAGCAAAAAGAACAGTAAACCGCCACAAATCAGAAGTCCTCCCATAAGGGGAAATCCTATTTAGAGGAGCCAACCACGTTTCCCTCACACCTCTTCTTCTAAAACATGCAGACTGCCACTTGTGCAACTGTGAAATTATTGTGAAATCAAATGCTGCAAATTCCTGAACCACAGGCTAGCACTGAAATAACTTTTCAAAACAGTAATAAAATCCAACCGGGGTAAAACAACAACACAATTTCTACAGATCTCACTTTACTGTAGTTCTCCAGGCATGGACACCAATGCCTGAGAACAAATGCTGAATCAAGAAATGATTTCCCAGAGCTAAAAATAAAACCCCAAAACAAAGCAAACTCTCTCCTGATATTTATGGGAGGCAACATCTGCCGCAGAAGGCTATAAAAAGTCTTTGATGTTCTCTGAACTTGGTTGGTTCCTTGCAGACGTTTCATTACCCAAACCAGGTAATGTCATCAGTGCATAATGTCTATGGAGATTCTCAATCATCCAGATCCTGATGGTCCCAAAGTTGTTATTTTATTTTCCAGTAGTGAAATCTCTTCAAGGAAACCACCAAGCTCAGAGAGCACCAAGGAACCCCCATTTCAACCCTGAGCTACAAATAGTCTCCTCTGCGCTTATAGTAAATCTATACAGGTAGCCCTTGATTTACAACAGCTCCTTTAGTGACCAATAAAGGAGAATATATGTAGTTCTGGGATTGAAATGAGGGGGTCCTTGGTGCTCTCTGAGCTTGTTTGGGTTTTTTGCAGACATTTCATGACCCAACTAGGTAACATCATCAGTGCTAATAAGGAGTGGGGTTTGTTTCCTCAGTAATAAGGAGAAAATTCACTCCTGACTAGGACTGACGATGTTACCTAGTTAAGGGTAATGCAATGACTGCAAGAAAACAGGCAAGCTCAGAAATAACCAAGGACCCTTTTAGTGACTGTTCAAAGTTACAACGGCACCGAAAAAGGTGACTTATGGCACGTTTTTCACACTTACAAACATTTGCAAGCATTTCCACTGTCACTTGATCAAAATTGAAATGTTTAGTGGCCACCGACTCATGACAGTGACAGTGTCCCAGGGTCACAGGATCTCACCTTTTGCGACCATCTGCCAAGGGAGAAGCCAGATTCCCTTAACCATTGTGGCCAAGACAGATTGTAAAATGGGGCAAAACTCGCTTGTCAAATATTTTGCTTTAAGCAAGCAAACTTTTGTTGGCTTTTGTGGCCATAACTCAACTTTTGTTGGCTTTTGTGGCCATAACTCAACTTTTGTTGCTCCATTGTAGCCGTAAATCGAGGATTACCTGTATTGCAATAGTTCTTGATTATAATATATATATATATATATTCTTAAGTTTTCGCGGGTACTTACATGAATGGTATTCAGCTTTGTTTGGGTATTTTCCCACATCATTATAGTTGTGCTTTTAAAGTTGTAGCAACGTTGTAGCAAGTTGTAGCAAGATTCTGCTGAAACTTTGCTACAACTTTAAAAGCATGTGGGAAAATACCCGAACAAAGCTGAATACCAGGTAGTCCTCGATTTATGGCTACAATATATTATATATTATATTATAATTATATTATTATAATCGGAGGCCAGGAGAAAAAGATGGCAAATATCTCCAACAATAAAACAAAACCGACTGCCTCATCCAGGCAGGGCAGCTACAGCGAATAGCAATCCAGACGGTCGCGCATTCACCGAGGAACGCAGCAAAGGCGTTCAAACCCGCGCGCGCTTTCGCCCACCTGGCCCGCGTGCAAACACACGCAGCCCCCCACCCCACCCCGGCCTTCCTTCTCCCGCTCTCCACGCCTACCGACCGCCAGGCAGCCCCGTACTCACACAGATGGCCAAGGCGCCGGCCCCCATCCTTTCCGGAGGGGCTGGGAAGAAGCGAGGCGGCCGGGAGGGGTTTCAGGAAGGAGGCGCTTTCCCCCTCCACCCACCCCCAGCGATCGTCTTGCAGGGCCGGAAGGCGGAATCTCTTCGCGCGTCGCTTGATCCCCGAGGGGGTCCACGGGCAGCGAGCGCCGCGACAGTCTCGCCACGCAGGGAAGTTCCGTTTCCCTTCGCGCGCGGGATGCCCGCGGCTGACACGGAGAGCAGCAAAGAGAGAAGAACTCTTTTTTTAAGTCGGCCCTGGAAGTCACGTGACCCGGGGCCTCCGAGTCAAGCCGCATCTTCCCCGGAAATTCCAGGGATTTCAACGGGAGGCTGGCGAGGAATGCCCGCTGGAAGTCGGCCGTAGCCCAGCGGCGGAAGCAGCTGCAGCAGCTGGCATAGCGTCTTCGTGTATTCATTGATCTATACTGCATTATTATTGAAATGCAACACAGGTAGTCTTCAACGTACGACCACAATTGAGCCCAAAATTTACGTTGCTAAGTGAGTCTTGTCCCATGTTGTCCATCCAGCCCACAAACTGTTTACTCTTCTTCCATCTGGGAGGAGGTTCAGGTGCCTGCAGTCTTAAGATCAGCAGGCTAGGGAACAGCTTTTACCATACAGCGGTTTCCTTGCTGAACACCTCCTTGCTTCCCTTGATAATATATGATGTATTTTGTATAATTCTCTGTGCATTTGTATTTATATTCAACGTGTCCATAAACATTTTGTACAGTTGTATATGTTCATATATGTGCAGACATACTTATCTATGTGTGGTCATGTACATACATTTTGTTGTGTTTTCCATTGACATATTCATAGATGCCTTGCATATTTGCATACATATATTTATATTTTACTGTTGTCTTGCACTCTGGTTAACTGGCTAACTCTGGCTAACTGCGTTTCGTTGCCTGTATCCATGGCAATGACAATAAAGTTGAATCTAATCTAATCTAACCTAATCTAATCTAATTTTATGACTTTTCGTACCACAGTTGTTAAATGAATCACTGCAGTTGTTAAGTGGCTTCCCCATCGACTTTGCTTGTCAGAAGATTGCAAAAAGTTATCGCATGACTCCTGGACACTGCAGATGTCCTAAAAATGAATCAGTTGCCAAGCATCTGAATTTTGATTGCATGACCGTGGAGAGGCTAAAATTTTGGAAGTGTGAAAAATGGTCATAAGTCCCTTTTTTTCAGTGCCGTTCTAACTTTGAACAGTCATTAAATGAACTGTTGTAAGTAGAGGACTACCTATACAGGTAGTCTTTGACTTAACAACAGTTCACATAGTGACTGTTTGGAGTTACAGCAGCACTGAAAAAAGTGACTTATGACTGTTTTTCACACTTATGACCGTTACAGCATCCTCATGCTCCTGTGATCAAAATTCAGATGCTTGGGTAGCAATGATGACCTTGGAAAAGATGCGACAGGTGTGTGAAAACAAAAGCTGGAAACAGAATACAGGTAGTTCTTGACTTACAACAACAATTCATTTAGGGTCCATTTGAAATTACAATGGTACTGAAAAAAGTGAGTTATGACCATTTTTCAAACTTACAACCATTGCAACATCCCCATGGCAACTGACTCATATTTATGGTGGCCGTAGTGACTGGGGTCATGTGATCATCTTTTGCAAACCTTCTGCCAGCCAGATTGACTTTAACAACCATGTTACTAATTTAACAACCTCTGTGTGTCAGGGCTCCGATAGTAACCCCCATTTAAATCATGAGTCTGATTTTAGCCTGATTTTCAAAGCTCAAAGAAGATTTAGCATAGCCAACTCTGAGGAACATCATTCATTGTCACCCTTGACCCTGGTTTTCCCCCACCCCCTGAGTGTATCATAATTCATATTCTCCAATGGGACACATCCATAGCCAAGAGTCATCAATCATGTTCTCCAGTTAGAATTTTGCGTGACAGAAATTTCGGTCACCTGGAAACTATCTATGAAAACATCCATGGAATGCAGTTTTCTGTTTTGCAGCTGCTATACTACTACCCCGTCCCTTTCTGTTGGCAACTGTAAAAGACCAGAGAAATATTTTATGAGTTGACACTGTGATCCACTTAACAACTGTGTCAAGAAGATTCGCTAAACGGGACGACACCACTAAAAGGTTCTTCCCAGGAAACTCCGGAGAAGAGGGGACACCACCCAGGCCTATATCTGCATAGGTAGTCCTTGACTTACTGCCATTCATTTAGTGGCTATTCCAATTATGATGGCACTGCAAAAGTGGCTTATGTCCAGGTCTCACACTTATGACTATTGAACATCCCCACAGTCACATGATCAAAATTTAGGCCCTTGGCAACCAGCATGTATTTACCACAGTTGTAGAGTCCTGGGATCATGTGATTCCCAGTTGAGACAATCCTGGCTCCTAACAAGCAGTTGTTGGGGGAGGCCAGATTCACATAAGGACTGCATGATTCACTTAACAGCAGTGATCTGCTTAACAGCAATGGCAAAAAGGTCATAAAATCGGGTGCAACTCACTTAAGCTCTGCTTGGCTTAGCAGTGGAAATTCTGATGCCAATTTTGGTCATTAGTCCAGGGTTACTTGCATTGTGATGCTGCCCACCGACACAGAAGGGATACAGCATCTTTTGCAATGCTACCTAGTCACTATGATGAAAACACTAAACTCCTGGGGATGCCCAAGTAGACATCTACATAATTTGGCCAAAGAAGATGTTCATTCTTAGGTATATTTGCTTTATCTCTTACTCGCTCCGAAAGATAAATTTTCTGCTACAGTTTTGTTGCTGTTATTTCTCATAAACACGGACACTGAACCAAAACTAATTGGAAGGGATCTGAATGTATTTTTTAAACTGCTCATTAAAATCACCAGTAGGCTCTTTTTTAAAAAAACAAAAACCTTTCTTTGGATTATACCCTACCTGAGCACAATTTGATGATCTATATGATAAAAGTAGAAACGGCAATACTTGTAGGCAGATTTCAGAGAAGAGAAA